TTCTAAGGATTCTTTGCCACATTGAGCAAGTCGTTTCCTCTCATTATGCTTAATTTCAATTAGACCTTTAAGAGAAGTAGGATCTTGCTTCTGTCCCCAGCTTGAGTGCAGTTGCATGATATAGCTTGTTGTGAGTTTCAAAGTCTGTGCCTCAAGTAAGTCTTCCTGCTAGCTCAGTTCGCTAGACACAGTTGCATTACCATCTACTCGCTATTTTTTTTAACATATATTTTTTTGTTTTATATTTTTAATGTTTTTTTTTTTTTTTTTTTAGAGATGGGGTCTTACTCTTGCTCAGGCTAGTCTTGAACTCCTGAACTCAAGTGATCCTCCCACCTTGGGTTTCCACAGTGCTAGGATTACAGGCATGAGCCACTATGCCCCCAATTTTTTTTTTTTTTGAGACAGAGTCTTGCTTTGTCACCCAGGCTGCAGTGCAGTGGCATCATAATAGCTCACTGCAATGTCAAACTCCTGGGCTCAAAGCAATCCTTCCACCTCAGTCTCCCAAAGTGCTGAGATTACAGGTGTGAGCCACCACAGCTGGCCCCTAATTTTATTTTTTAAGAGATTGGGTTTTGCTATTTTGTCCAGGCTGGCCTCAAACTTTTGGGCTCGAGTGATCCTCCCAGCTCAGCCTTCCACATAGCTGGGACTATGGGTGTGTGCCATCATGTCCAGCCTATGTTTAAATTTTTACTTTATTCTAGATCCTTTCCCTTTTTGTTGACAAATATGCTAAAACAGGGACTGGCAAGAAATAAATCCAGCCCAACACCAGGTTTTGCAAATAAAGGTCATTTTCTTTTCTTTTTCAACCCCTGCCCCTACCCCAGACAGGGTCTTGCTCTGTCACCTAGGCCAGAGTGCAGTGGTAGGATCATAGCTCACTGCAGGCTTGAATTCCTGGGCTCAAGCAATCCTTCTGCTTCTGCTCCTAAGTAGTTGGGACTATAGGTGTGTGCCACCATGCCCAGCTAATTTCTCTTACTTTTTGTAGAGACAGGGTTTCACTATGTTGCCTGACTGGTCTTGACCTCTTGGCCTCAAGTGATCGTTCCACCTCACCCTACCAAGGTGCTGGGACTGCAGGGTTTAGCCACTGAGCTCAGCCAAAGTTCATTTTCATATTGTCTACAGCTGCTTGCTGTATCAGACTGTATGGCTCTTTAATAAAAAGGCTGCCAACCCTACACTCAAATCTCTCCTATTATTAAAATATAAACAACTCTCCTACCCCCCCTTGCAGGACCCTTCCTGATACCACATATTCCTGTCATCCACAACCTCTCCTCAATTCCTATCCTAAATTAATTTTTCTCAGCCTCTGTGACCCAGAACTCTCCTACTTCAGACTCTCTCATTAACAAATAAACACCCACCTATCTCTTATACTCACCTTTTGATCATCATGAATTGGTTCCTGGGACTTTAGAAGTGAAGCTCTTTCTTCATCTACCCAATTCCCCCACTCTTCTGCTGGTGCATTCCAATCTGAGCTGGGATCAGCAGAAGACAGACCATCTAAAATTTAACAGTGTGAATTAGGTATCTATCATTTCTGCCATTAACTAAAAGACAAAAACTAAAAATATCTTATATTGAACTAAGATGTAATTTTAAACTATTATTTCTCCCAAGCACATTTTAAGAGCTAGAAAAAAAACCAGTAACATGATGGGTAACAATCTTTATTAAACTTCTGTTAGTATATTATATGGTTAAATGGAACTTCTGAGAAACTCCAGAAAATGTATTTATTGGCCATTTAATTCCTGTCTCCCTACTTCCTTGTTATCAATGAATTTACTATCTTTTCCCTGTTCATTTTTAATTTGGTCTAGGACCTGGTTATTTTTTTGCCCTGATTATTACAACATTTCTGCAATTGATTTATTTTCTAGGGTACAGAATTAATTTTTAACAGCAGTACCCACATTATACTCTCCACTTGTCATTTCACACTCTAACTCTCCCATCCTTATGCACCTTTCAAGATTAGGTTCTTCAAATTCATCAAGTCATGACAGAATATTTAACCTCTTCTTTTCCTCCTCCTCTTTTAATACTTCTACCTTCTTATATTTTTCAGATTATTCAATGTTCCTTTTATCTGATATTTAAGTTACTTCAAAGATTCAATCATCTTAATATCAGAAATAAGTGTTATTTTAGATTTCCAAATACATTTCTTTCACTTTAGGAGGCACTGAATTTTTACTTCCTGCAGGAAGCTATCAACGACTTACTCTAAAAGGAAAAAATACTCTTTGGCTCTTCCCAGTGTTAAATAAATAGCTCCTAAAATTAATTATTCCCCCCTTTCCTTGCATATACTCCCATATACACTCCTGTAATATCTACTTATGGTCAGGTTTCATTTACATTGGTTAAAAAATACAGAGGTTAGGCTTTATTTCCAAATGGTTAACAAGTTGTCCTAACATTGCTTAACTAAAAAAAAAAATCCAACCATTTCCCACTAACACTTAATGCTACTTTTATTAAATACTCAGTTCTTTCATATGCACTGCAGTCTGTCTCTGGAATTTCTATTCTATTCCACTGATCTATTCCTGGGATCGTGCCATACATAATATGAAATGTAATGAAAATGTAATACATTTTCATATCTATAAGGACAAATCTGCTTGCATTACTCTGTTATTTTTGTTATCTTATTTTCCAGGTGAACTCTATTATTTTTGTTTAATAGGGAGGTATTATACATCCTCATGAAGGCTTTATTTTGGAAGAATATATGATGATCTGGGAAAATGCTCACCAAAAAAGGACAAAATTGTCTACACAGTATGATCACAATTTTATATGATGAAGAGACAGAAGAAAATAACACATTAATAAATATATCTTAATAGTCAAATTACAAGAATTTCATCTTTTCAATCCTTATTAAGCACTTACTAGGTATTAGAACTTAAGCTAGGCAAAAATCAGAGGTACAAAAATGAGTAAGGTAAAATCCCTCCTCACATGCAGCTCATAGTCTAGTCAGGGATAGAGATAGGTAAGTACAATAGACAAGTGTAACAGATTCTGCCATGGGGGCTATGGAAACAGAGAAGAGAAGCTAAACCAGTAGAGGATAGGGAGAGACTGAAGATAAGAATTTATAGTCTAGTGGAGGAAGAACACGGAACAAGTGATTACAAGTGTGAAATGTGCTCCAAAAAACGATGTCCCTTCCTGTATTTCTAAATTCACTATCATGGGCAGGTATCTGGAGTCAGGATTACACAGTATTAGCATAGAAGTTAAGAGCATGGGCCTTCGAGTCAAACAGATGTACATTTGAATATTGCTCTATCACTTTTTTTTTTTTTTGCTCTACCACTTTATAACAATGTGATTTTGGTCAAGTTTCTTAATTTTAATGGGATGTATGCCAACTTCATAAGGTTGATGAGAGGATTACATAAGATACATGTAAAACAATTCAAAACAATGCAGTTAAGTGTTCAATAAATGGTAGCTATTGTTTTTTTCTTTTTTTTGAGACAGAGTCTCACCCTATTGCCCGGTCTAGAGTGTCGTGGCATCAGCTTAGCTCACAGCAACCTCAAACTCCTAGGCTCAAGTGATCCTACTGCCTTACCCTCCCAAGTAGCTGGGACTACAGGCATGCGCCATCATGCCCGGCTAATTTTTTCTATATGTTTTTAGTTAGCCAATTAATTTGTTTCTATTTTTAGTAGAGACGGGGTCTCGCTCTTGCTCAGGCTGATTATGAACTCCTGACCTCAAGCAATCTTCCTGCCTGGGCCTCCCAGAGTGCTTGGATTACAGGTGTGAACCACCGTGCCTGGCCGCTATTGTTTTTAATATCACTGATAACATTAAAACCAGTTTCTAATATATCAGGCATATTTAATTAAGAATTTATTTCTTTCCAAATAGCCCCATGGGGGGAGAAGAATTTATTTCTCACAATCATGATAATCTCTCAATAAGATACACTCAGTATATTTTAATATAGAAATCATTTTTACAAATACAAAGGAATCTATTTGCTAATTTTATACCAAGCATTTATTTATTTTTGAGACAGAGTCTCACTCTGTTGCCTGGGCTAGAGTGCTGTGGCATCAGCCTAGCTCACAGCAATCTCAAACTCCTGGGCTCAAGCAATCCTTCTGCCTCAGCCTCCTGAGTAGCTGGGACTAAAGGCATACGCCACCATGCCCAGCTAATTTTTTCTATATATTTTAGTTGGCCAATTAATTTCTTTCTATTTATAGTAGAGATGGGGTCTCGCTCTTGCTCAGGTTGGTTTCGAACTCCTGAACTCAAACGATCTGCCCAGCTCGGCCTCCCAGAGAGCTAGGATTACAGGCGTGAGCCACCGCGCCCGGCCCATAAGTTAAAATTTTAACAGTATTAGTGCTTTTAAAATAAATCCATGCATGTTCCTAGTAGTTTGGTATGCCTGAAATTAAAATAATATCTTTGACTTCATCTTTATTACAATCTAAATTTTTTTCCCAGATAGGAGAGATCAAAGAAATGAAAAAGAAAATGCAGGAGTGATGCACAAAGTTTCTGTTGGTTAGAAGCAAAAACAGCAGGAAAAGATAACTAAGCGAAATATTAATAACTAGCAAACTCAGAGTCACATGAAAGACCACTTGTTATGCATATGGTTTTTCTAGTTGTGCTAAATGTTACCTTTCAGTTACTCAAAGAAATTTTTTATGTGTAAAATACTATTCTTCCTTTTCCATTTCACCATTACATAATAAAATACCCACTGAGTAATTTGAAATTTTACTATTTTTGGGCTTAGCACTTTTAATATGAATTTTTAGAGAAGTAACATTTTTATTACAATGATGTATTAATTTTTAAAAAGTCTGATTTTTTTCAAATAAATTTGATGTCTCATGTGTCTTTTATCTTTACAGATTCTTAGCATTTGTACATCATCTTTTCACATTTTCACCAGTAGGCGCTTAAAGAATGTTTGTGTTTCGATATTTTACCTGTGTAAGAGAGTTATCTTCACCTTGCTTCTTCTTTTTCTTTTTTTTCTTTTTAGACTTCCCTGTTGGAAGTGCTCCTTCTCCCTTTTCTTTATCATCATCTGAAACCTGATGTTAAAAGCAAAATATTACAGTGAACCAATTGGTTGGTTAAGTTTCCATTAGTCATAAAATTATCATTAAATAATTTCATTCACTTGGTTCAGTCTTTATCCCCTCAAATCTAAATAAGAATTAGCAATAATACTGATTGAAAATTACATATTTAAAAAATAACAAAATACGTGGAACTTCTTTCTTATTGTCTATGATAGACTCCTCTTTTCTTATGTCTTTCATCACTCGCTATAAGACAATTAGAGAGCTGTACAACTTCAGTGTTTTAAAACTCACTGGATTACTTTGAAGTTAAAATGTAGAGCTATTTGCAAAATACATAATAAGCTACAAAGCAAATCATACAGTCTCAACAAAGAACTAGTATCTAGACTATATAAAGTACACCAAAAATCAACAGTAAAAAATAATCCAATTAGAAAATATGCAAAAGACACAAATAGACATTTTACCAAAGAAGATATACAGATGGCAAAGTAGCACAGGGAAAGATGTTCAACTTTATTAGCCATTAGGTAAATGCAAATTAAAACCACAATGAGGCTGGGCGCGGTGGCTCACGCCTGTAATCCTAGCACTCTGGGAGGCCAAGAGTTCAAAACCAGTCTGAGCAAGAGCGAGACCCTGTCTCTACTATAAATAGAAAGAAATTAATTGGCCAACCAATATATATATAGAAAAAATTAGCCAGGATGGTGGCGCATGCCTGTAGTCCCAGCTACTTGGGAGGCTGAGGCAGGAGGATTGCTTGAGCCCAGGAGTTTGAGGTTGCTGTGAGCTAGGCTTGACGCCACGGCCTCACTCTAGCCTGGCAACAAGTGAGACTGTCTCAAAAAAAAAAAAAAAAATAAAAAATAAGAGCCCACAATGAATTATCCATGACACACCTATCAGAATACTGCAAAATAGGGTGGGATGCAGAAAAACCAGACACACACTGGCTGGTAGGAATGTGAAGTGAGAAGACCACTCCAGAAAATAGTTTGACAGTTTCTAATATTAAATATGCAATCCATACCACCCAGTGATTGCATTCCTGGCTATTATCCGAGAAAACAGAACTTATGTGTTCAGCACAAAATCCCACTGAATTAATGCCTGTTAGCGCTTTATTCATAATAGCTCCAAACTGAGCTATTTTTGAAGTTTAAACTGAGCTAACAACCCAGACATCCTTCAAAAGAGAATGTTAAAAAACTGAGTACTCATACGAAGCATATCACTCAGTACATACTACTGATACAGTACAACAATCTGATGAATCTCCAGAGAATTATGCCTTGATTAAAAGGATAGCAAAGTATTAAGTATTATACCTATATATGTCCATTATGAAATCATGAAGACAAATTATAGGAGATGGAGAAGCAGATACTGCTGCCGTGTTCTGAAGGGGTGGGATGACACAGAAGAAAGTATGCTGATAATGTTGTTTTGTTTTGTATTAAGAGTTTGTGTTTTATTGCATACAGCAATGTATAGGCATGCAGTCAACGTGCACAGCCATGATACAGGTCTTTACTCCACTTCATGGTTCTGACGTTTAATTCTAGACGTGCCAGAGCTCCCTAGCGAGTAGACTTTAAGTAGTGCGAGCTTGTAACCCTAGCACTCTGTGAGCTGAGGCATGATTAGTATTCGCTAGAATATAGAGTCAGAGTTTTCCATATCTTCTGCCGTCTCCTTGAGTGATCTCCTGCCTCGCTCAGAGTGTAGGGTTTACAAGCATGAGCCACTTGCCTGGCCTGTACTAGAATTAAACGTTAGAACACATTGAATGAG